GTGCCCCATGGTGGCGTTGGGGTTATGGTAGGGCAGGCATAAGCTATGGACAACGAACACAATTGCATTTTATCAATGGCAATTTAATGCACAGAGATACCTGACAAGATCCTGAGGCCCATTGTTGTGCCATTCATCCACCGCCATCACCACATGTTTCAGCATTTTAATGCATGGCCCCATGTCACAAGGATCTGTACACAATTCCTGGTAGCTGAAAATAACCAAGTTCTTCCATGTCCTGCATAATCCCCAGACATGTCACCCATTGAGCCAGTTTGGGATGCTCTGGATCGATGTGTACAACAGCGTGTTCCAGTTCCAGCCAATATCCAGCAACTTCACACAGCCATTGAAGAGGAGTGGGACAACATTCCACAGGCCACAATCAACAGGAGATGTGTCGCACTACATGAGACAAATGGACGTCACCAGATACTGACTGGTTTTATGATCCATGGCCCAACTTTTTTTTTCTGTATCTGTAACAAACAGATGCATATCTGTATTCCCAGTCATGAGAAATCCATAGATTAGGGCCTAATTAATTTATTTCAATTGAGTGATTTACTTATTTGAACTGTAACTCAGTAAAATCGTTGAAATTGTTGCATGGATCATTTATATTTTAGTTCAGTGTAGAATATGGAGCAGGGAGTAGGAGAGTTGGATTTGAGACCGAATGGGAATTGTACGGTGAAAATGATCTACATTGGTGTTTGTTGGATAAACAAGCATGCATGGTTTTAGCCTCCCAAAAAAGTACATGTTTTTAGTGAGGTGACCAGCTATAATTTGTGGCTTGCAATGTTGCGACCAATAAAAAATATAACTAGCACAGCCCAGTCAAAGGGTCGCAGTCTGGAGCCTACATAGTCATACAGGATGTACAGTGCATTTGGAAAGTATTCAGACCTCTTGACTTTTTCCACATTTTGTTACGTTACAGCCGTTTTCTAAAATTGATTAATTGGTTTTTTTCATCATCAATCTACACACAATACCCCATACTCAGTACTTTGTTGAAGCACCTTTGACAGCAATTACAGCCTCTAGTCTTCTTGGGTATGACGCTACAAGCTTGGCACACCTGTATTTGGGGAGTTTCTCCCATTCTTATCTGCAGATCCTCTCAAGCTCTGTCAGGTTGGATTGGGAGCGTCACTGCACAGCTATTTTCAGGTCTCTCCAGAGATGTTAGATCGGGTTCAAATCCAGGCTTTGGCTGGGCCACTCAAGGACATTCAGAGACTTGTCCTGAAGCCACTCCTGCGTTGTCTTGGCTGTGTGCTTGGGGTCGTTGTCCTGTTGGAAGGTGAAACTTCGCCCCAGTCTGAAGTGCTGAGCACTCTGGAGGCAGGTTTTCATCAAGGATCTCTCTGTACTTTGCTCCGTTCATCTTTCCCTTGATCCTGACTAGTCTCCCAGTCCCTGCCACTGAAAAACATCCCCATAGCATGATGCTGCCACCCCCATGCTCTGTAGTGATGGTGCCAGGTTTCCTCCAAATGTGACGCTTGGCATTCAGGCCAAAGAGTTCAGACCATCGGGTTCTTGGTCACCTCCCTGACCAAGGCCCTTCTCCCCTGATTGCTCAGTTTGGCCGGGTTGGCCACCTAGCCAAACTGAGCAATCGGGGGAGAGGGACCTTGGTCAGGGAGGTGACCAAGAATCTGATGGTCACTCTGTCAAAGCTCCAGAGTTCCTCTGTGGAGATGGGAGAACCATCCAGAAGGACAACCATCTCTGCAGCACTCCACCAATCAGGCCTTTATGGTAGAGTGGCCAGACGGAAGCCACTCCTCAGTAAAAGGCACATAAAAGCCAGCTGAAATGTGATATTTCATGTCATTTGCTGGCTAACGGAAACCCTGGTGTGTGTGTATGACAGAGGACAGTCATCTTCAACCTGTAGCAGGGTTCTTGAAGTTCAAAGAGGACTCTGGTAGACTGCCTGTCTTCATATTTATGTTTGAGTTTGAGTTTATTTCTATTTGTACAGGGACATTTCAGTAAAAGTGCCGGTTTTAGCCAGCTGGCTAATTTTCAACCTCTGTCCCTGGGCAGGTTATTAAAAACGATTACAATAACAATACAGACAGAGCAGTGAGCAGTGAGCACATGCAGAGCAACATGGGACAAGCAACACGTAGCATGCAGACAATAGCACAAAAAGCAACAAAACTAAATACATAAAAGCAACAAAGTGTTTCCACACCTCACAAGCTACAGACAACAGATAACATGGAAACCGGCAATACACAGCTAGGTATTATGTTCACAAGTCTGATTGTCCTTTAGCCATGTCTTTATGTTTCTTGTGAAGGTGTGATAGGTGGTGCAGTTGTGTGTGTCTGATGGCCATGTGTTCCAGACATGGGAAGCTCTCACAGAGAAAGCAGATTGACTAAAGGTGCTTTTCCTTAATGAAACTATACAGTCACCTCTAATGGCAGACCTTGTGGATCTGCTGCCATGAGTTTGGGTTTTCTGTTTGACAAAAGTACTAAGTGGAGGGGGAGCCAGGACATTTAGGATCTTGAATATAATACATGTGTCGGTGTATGGCACAAGATTTTCCCAACTCAGGAGCTCAGGAACAGTGATGATGGCTATTGGGCTTTCTATCAAGCACTTTGTGAGCCTGTTTGCAGACAGACTGAATGGGTTTTAATGTTGTACAGCAAGCTTGGGCCCAACTAATCAAGCAGTATGTTAAGTGGTGGAGTATCATAGCAATGAAGTACAGTTTTGCTACCTCTGTAGTCAAACAATTTCGTATGAATCGGAAATTAGCTAGGTTGAATTTGGTTATTTGAGTTACCTTTTTCACCTGCTTTTTAAAAGAGAGGTTGGAATCAAGTATGACGCCAAGGTACTTAAAATCAGATACCACCTGGCGCTTCTCCCCTGACACATAGACATCTGTCTCAGTAGTATCAGTTGTCCTCTTTGTGAAGAACATGCAAACTGTTGTCTTGTTGTTTCCTGTTGTCAACAGCAACCAGCAATACTCTGATTTGCTCTGTATTGCACTGTGCTTAATTTAGCCCGGGATGTCCTAGAATTTGAGATTTTCTAATTTGATCTTCTCAAACATCTCTCTCTGTCTATCTCTCTCTGTCTCCCTCTTTCTTGTCTATTAATCATTTGGGACGCCTACCAATTGACCAAGTTGAATACTCAACGAGAGGTTGAGTGCAGGCCACATTTCTGGCAGTAACATGGGGAGAGTTTGACAAAAACACACGTGATAAGACTTAATAAGAACACCTCCCTCTGACTTATTCTCATTTTATAATGACCTTCAATATGGTTGAGTAACCTTCAATTAATTATGTACTTTCTGACATTTCTGATCAAAAGTATTTTACTTGTGACCTTTTCCAGGTGAGGGAAAGGGTAGTTTTTAGACTCTGTATATCTTTTTGTGCTATCAAAATATATTTCTGTAGAATGTACTACTCTGTATTCTTGTCACCTGTCATACTCTTGATTTACTGCGGGACTAGCCAACGAAGACATTGTACATTCCACACAGGTAGATTCCCTCTAACCAAAATCGTATTTATTTATTTCTTTTTCTCTTTCTTTTTCTCTTTCTTTCTTATCTTGGTCCAATTGTGATATTAATCTTTTTTTTCAAGGGAGACCTGGCCAATAGACAGCAGCATACAAAACAATACACAAACAAAAAAATAAGAACCATAAACAAAGTCCTAATGATCTGACAGCATACACCATAATGTAGTCTGCCAAAACAAGTACATCTCAGTAGAAGGTATTTGCTAAACCATCACAGAGCACTCCAGTTTTCTGATAATTCAAATACCACAAATATAAAAGTGGTAGCCATGCATACAAATTTATATTGGGATTGCATTCATAACATTTAATATGAATGTTTCATGAATCTTTGTGATTTGTTGCAGTTTCTTTCAAAACTACCTTGCTAGCACATTTATCCAGCACCAGGGTAATTTCTGAATGTCTGGAGAGAGGACCTTAAAATAAAAGTGCTGTTTATTGCAATACTAAAAGCAATAAACATTTTTCTTTCAGTTGGACCGTTTTCTTGCATGTATGAACGTTATTAGGTGTACTTGAATAACAAAACAATATACAAAAATATTATTGAATAACTAGAGCAATGGAGAAACGGCAAATGAGTACATACTTTATTTTGTTTGATTGTTTGTTTTTACATTTAAAGACGTAATTTCAGTATGTCACATCTTTTGTTCACTATGACAGGGTTGATGCAAACCCTTTTGAACAACAGAATACCCCTTTATTATTTACAATGTGGCTGGCAATTCAGTATTAACATCATTATTGGAGGCACAGTTACCAATCACGTTTTCTCTGCTGGCCTGTGACAGGGCCTGTGGATTTTGAGCATTAGCTTTCAATGCTTTGAAAGTTTAATTACAAAGTCAAAAGGAGGCAGCATGATGAATTTCTGCCTGATTCCTCTCAGCACAGCCTATGGAAGTTCACCAGATCGCCGCTATTGATATCCGTATTACACACTACGTAGCTATGTAGCTGTCAATCACAACGCATCATAATCATAATTCATCCTAGACACTAAATTCACTCTGGGCCTTCAGTGTTGACAAGTTTTCAGAGTGGGAATTGCTTGATGTACATAGGTCAAAGTATTGCGATGACATATGACGTGATCATGAAGTGAAGGAACCTTGATTCTGTATTGGAGTATATCTCAATGTCTATTATATCTGGCTACATGTTGGTCCATAATAACGAAGAAATGCAGCTAGGGTACACATTGAGAGGGCATTTAGCTTTCAAATATTAATATTATTTATGTTGACCAAGTTAAAAACCTCATGTATTTTGTTAGGAAGGCTACATACATTAACATGAGCTATATGCAACCCTTTCCTTGTCAAGTGAAGATCAATAGAGCATGTATTCGTTATAGTTGAAGTTGTCATGATACTCTACAACACACAAACTCAGATTTGAACATTGGATTAAAATAGCCAGGGAGTTACTCTAGAGTCCCGATACAGATTCCCGTTGATGTAAAGTTTATCCATCACCAAGGAGGCTCGTTGATTCAGGCAACACTTTTCTTTCATGATGGGATACAGTTTTTTTCTCCTTTCATTGATCTCCGTGGGGAAGTGATCATTCATTCCAAAATCAGTGTTTCTGAGTTCTCTACCCCTGCTCTTTGCCATTTCCTTTTGCTTAAAATGTTCAAAACATGCAATAATAGCCAGTGGCCCATTCCCAGAGGCCTTACTCATTCTATGGACTCTGGAGAAAGTGACATTACGGCAGTTTCAGTTGAGTTGACATAAAGTCTCAGACAAAGTGCTCACAGCTTCTGCTGTTGTCATTTTCCGGTATCCCTGAAAAGATGAGATGTCCCGCATTGATCGACAATGTACATCAAGCAAGGTTTCTTTAAGTTGTTTGTTCTCCCTTTGCACCACCTCCACCTTCCGTGAATAGAGTCTACAGGACCTTTCAGCACCGTGTTCTCTTTCCTTAGATCATCAATCTGACATTGGCTGAATTCTAGACTGGCACATAATGCATTGATGTCCTCTCGTAGTATATCAAAGATATCAAGTTTGGCAAGCCTTTCATTGATGGATTTCAACAAGTCAACATCCATATCCATAAACCTCTCCCCACTCTCCACGCGCACCCTCTTGCTTGGGGATGGTTTGATGCCGTCATTGATACCGCTTGGCCAATTTGGCTTTGTTTTGTTGATTGGGTTTGCTGTCCTTAACAGTGCTTGAATCCTCCGAAACCAGCGACATGTTTCTTTGAGCTCGTAAGTATCTCTCGTCAATGAATCGTTCAAGCTCTTCAATGGATTCTGAATCATCCAGCATGTTTGCAGGCAGAATAAAACAAAAATAACAAAACAACGGATGTATCTTTCCAGACCTATACAGGCCGTCGGTAGATACACCCAATAAAAAATAACATTAAACGATCGTGCCTGTTATATTGAAATATTTGCCGCAAACAATTAACCGATGTTAGAAAGAAATACAAAATAAAAATAATCTTTGTGACTCTGAAAATGGGCATACTTACAGTGGGGAAAAAAAGTATTTAGTCAGCCACCAATTGTGCAAGTTCTCCCACTTAAAAAGATGAGAGAGGCCTGTAATTTTCATCATAGGTACACGTCAACTATGACAGACAAAATGAGAAAAAAATATCCAGAAAATCACATTGTAGGATTTTTAATGAATTTATTTGCAAATTATGGTGGAAAATAAGTATTTGGTCAATAACAAAAGTTTCTCAATACTTTGTTATATACCCTTTGTTGGCAATGACACAGGTCAAACGTTTTCTGTAAGTCTTCACAAGGTTTTCACACACTGTTGCTGGTATTTTGGCCCATTCCTCCATGCAGATCTCCTCTAGAGCAGTGATGTTTTGGGGCTGTCGCTGGGCAACACAGACTTTCAACTCCCTCCAAAGATTTTCTATGGGGTTGAGATCAGGAGACTGGCTAGGCCACTCCAGGACCTTGAAATGCTTCTTACGAAGCCACTCCTTCATTGCCCGGGCGGTGTGTTTGGGATCATTGTCATGCTGAAAGACCCAGCCACGTTTCATCTTCAATGCCCTTGCTGATGGAAGGAGGTTTTCACTCAAAATCTCACGATACATGGCCCCATTCATTCGTTCCTTTACACGGATCAGTCGTCCTGGTCCCTTTGCAGAAAAACAGCCCCAAAGCATGATGTTTCCACCCCCATACTTCACAGTAGGTATGGTGTTCTTTGGATGCAACTCAGCATTCTTTGTCCTCCAAACACGACGAGTTGAGTTTTCACCAAAAAGTTCTATTTTGGTTTCATCTGACCATATGACATTCTCCCAATCCTCTTCTGGATCATCCAAATGCACTCTAGCAAACTTCAGACAGGCCTGGACATTTACTGGCTTAAGCAGGCGGACACGTCATGCACTGCAGGATTTGAGTCCCTGGCGGCGTAGTGTGTTACTGATGGTAGGCTTTGTTACTTTGGTCCCAGCTCTCTGCAGGTCATTCACTAGGTCCCCCCGTGTGGTTCTGGGATTTTTGCTCACCGTTCTTGTGATCATTTTGACCCTACGGGGTGAGATCTTGCGTGGAGCCCCAGATCGAGGGAGATTATCAGTGGTCTTGTATGTCTTCCATTTCCTAATAATTGCTCCCACAGTTGATTTCTTCAAACCAAGCTGCTTACCTATTGCAGATTCAGTCTTCCCAGCCTGGTGCAGGTCTACAATTTTGTTTCTGGTGTCCTTTGTCAGCTCTTTGGTCTTGGCCATAGTGGAGTTTGGAGTGTGACTGTTTGAGGTTGTGGACAGGTGTCTTTTATACTGATAACAAGTTCAAACAGATGCCATTAATACAGGTAACGAGTGGAGGACAGAGGAGCCTCTTAAAGAAGAAGTTACAGGTCTGTGAGAGCCAGAAACCTTGCTTGTTTGTAGGTGACCAAATACTTATTTTCCACCATAATTTGCAAATAAATTCATAAAAAATCCTACAATGTGATTTTCTGGATTTTTTTTTCTCAATTTGTCTTTCATAGTTGACGTGTACCTATGATGAAAATTACAGGCCTCTCTCATCTTTTTAAGTGGGAGAACTTGCACAAATAGTGGCTGACTAAATACTTTTTTGCCCCACTGTAGTTCCAGCACATGGATCATATTTATCTGCCTTGCCCGGACTCAAATAGCTACTTCAACTATATTCTCCATACAGAGCTGTGACCAACATGCTCTATATGAGGGGACAATCAAATTAGAGGATGAAATTATTACAAGCATTTCTTAACATGCCAGAAAATACTGGGTAATCATTACCAGAAAATACTGGGTAATCATTACATTTTACATTTAAGTAATTTAGCAGATGCTCTTATCCAGAGCGACTTACAAATTGGTGCATTCAACTTAGCTGATTACCACAAAGAGGGCTGCTGTTTAAGAAAAGTATAAAGCATGGCAACCTTCACTAAAGACCACAACCTTAACTAAAGACCACAACCATAAGGCTATGCCTGTGAAATTAGATTCCACTAGCTTAACTGACCTAGCAGCTATGCTCAAAACTTGCCAATTACAAAATTACAAATCAGCTCTGTACCAAGTCATACATTCAGAAATGGATTAAATGAAAGCTCAATTGTTAACCTACAACTCAAAGCTGTCCCGAGTCTCTAATCAGCTAGAAAAGTTGAAAGAGGTAAAACACATCAGGCTAGAGACACACTTACAGATAAGGGAACAAGGGGGTCGTTTGACACCTCAGTCACCCTCCCAGCCCCAAACTCTTGGTCCAGCTTCAGAGAAGGAGTCCCCTGTCACCACCAGTACCCTCCCCCACCCAGCTGAGAAAGCAAAAGCACAGCCAGAGACAATAGAGACCAATTGACACCTACTGAAACATACCAGGCAAAACTCCACACACTCACCCAGAAAGCTTGTGAAAGACATTGAAAAAAGGCTCAAACATCAAGTCATTCTTAAAAGATCTCAACCATTCTCTGCATTTTCAGCCACAAATCTTGATGAGAAAGTCTACCTTCTCAGAACCACCACTGGTAGGACAGTTCATGGTTTTATTGATAGACAAATCCCTGATGTTGCTCAGAATTCTGATTTGCTATGCCGAGCCCTAACGTTTAAGTACCGTATTTTCCGCACTATAAGGCGCACCGGAGTATAAGCCGCAGCAGCTAAATTGAATGATATTGAATGATGTGTACATATATAAGCCGCACTGGACTATAAGCCGCAGGTGTTTTAATGTTTAATTACCATATGTAAGGGTTCGTGCACAGAGGGGATTGTCGGGAAAGAGACAAACTGTCTCGCTCTCGTAATGTCTGTCTGTCTTGCTCTCGTTCTGTCTCTCGTTCTGTCTCTCGTACCACTCTCGGTTCCACTTTTACTTTTGCGCGCTACCTGTCTCACTCTTTTCCGGTCTCCAGCTTTTCCTGCTGGAGCCCGCCGCTTAAAGGTAGGGGGCGCGGACCGGTCATAGAGCCCATAGAGTTAAAGTTGGTGGCCGGAAAATCCATAGATTTAGGAGGTCTTCTAGTGGCCGTTAGCTGTAAAAATCCATAGATTAGCCGCACCGTTATATAAGCCGCAGGGTCGAAAAATGGGGAAAAAGGCGCAGCTTATAGTCCGAAAATTACGGTACTCATATCTGCTTGACCAGTCCAAGGATGTGGTTAATTATATCGAGGCTGCCAAAATCTCACAGGCTGAGCATGAGCCCCCACGCAATTATTATAACAGATTAAGGTGTAAATTCTTTGCAAATGGGTATTATCTAGATATTTGGTATTTGGTATTTTATTAGGATCCCCATTAGCTGATGCAAAAGTGTAAATTGTTCAAAGTAGTCATTGTGCATTACATTTACATTTACGTCATTTAGCAGACGCTCTTATCTAGAGCGACTTACAAATTGGTGCATTCACCTTATAGCCAGTGGGATAACCACTTTACAATCATTATTATTATTATTATTATTATTATTATTTTATTTTTTGGGGGGGGTGGGGTGGGGTGGGGTAAGGGGGGGGGGTTAGAAGGATTACTTTATCCTATCCCAGGTGTTCCTTAAAGAGGTGGGTTTTCAAATGTCTCCGGAAGGTGGTGAGTGACTCCGCTGTCCTGGCGTCATGAGGGAGCTTGTTCCACCATTGGGGTGCCAGAGCAGCGAACAGTTTTGACTGGGCTGAGAGGGAACTGTGCTTCAGCAGAGGTAGGGGAGCCAGCAGGCCAGAGGTGGATGAACGCAATGCCCTCGTTTGGGTGTAGGGACTGATCAGAGCCTGAAGGTATGGAGGTGCCGTTCCCCTCACAGCTCCGTAGGCAAGCACCATGGTCTTGTAGCAGATGCGAGCTTCAACTGGAAGCCAGTGTAGTGTGCGGAGGAGCGGGGTGACGTGAGAGAACTTGGGAAGGTTGAACACCAGACGGGCTACGGCATTCTGGATGAGTTGTAGGGGTTTAATGGCACAGGCAGGGAGCCCAGCCAACAGCGAGTTGCAGTAATCCAGACGGGAGATGACAAGTGCCTGGATTAGGACCTGTGCCGCTTCCTGTGTAAGGCAGGGTCGTACTCTCCGAATGTTGTAGAGCATGAACCTACAGGATCGGGTCACCGCCTTGATGTTAGCGGAGAACGACAGGGTGTTGTCCAGGGTCACGCCAAGGCTCTTCGCACTCTGGGAGGAGGACACAACGGAGTTGCATGTATTGTTAAACCAGTGGTTTGTTAAACCAGTGTTTTTTGTTTGACATACGTTTAAAAGTAAAAAATCTGAGTCTCAGCGTAATTCCGTTACCATGGAATTGCCCTAAAGTAGAAAGTGCAAAGTGAAAAGTAGAGAGCTTCAAAAGATAGCAGACTGAGGAAATGAAGAAAGAGAAAAGATAACAGATTGGGGGGAAATGAAGAAAGCCAGCAGAAAGCCAGCAGAGGGAAATACAGTGCCTTCAGAAAGTATTCATACCCCAGAAAGTATTCATACAATGCCTCACAAAGAAAGGCACCTATTGGTAGATAGGTAAACATAAAAAAGCAGACATTGAATATCCCTTTGAGCATGGTGAAGTTTTTAATTACACTTT